AACAAAAGCTTCCCATTTCATGACCTAGAAGGGCTCCTTATTTTTTAGACTATTCTATGTCGGGGCTATAGCGCAAACTCAGAACATGTGGTATTATTTCAGAGGCAAAAAAAAGCCAAAACAAAACGCAAGATCAGAAATGGATCAATCTGATATAAATTATTTTTCAGCAGTGGATTCCAGTGCTGATTTTCCAAAACAGGAGCTCAGATATCCACCCTGTCAAAACAAAGCTTTTAAACTACAAAAGTCAGCAAGAGTGAACCATTCTTTTCATCAGTTATGGGAAAGTCATTAGTATAGCCTACTCAGGCCTAAGAAGAGAGAGAGGTGTGCTCTGGCTATATGGAACGGGAATGAAATGAGACAAATCATATTTCCTAACAGATAAAGCAAAACACATCAGAAACAAGCAACGTGCTATATAGTTTCTGAAAGAATCAGATAAAAGAACTTGAAGGAAAGAAAATGTGTGGCACTCTGCTCAGCAATATGCTGGAAAAAAAAAAGTGGTTAGCACCCCCACCTCCTCTAAGCAGTACATTAAAGCATAAAACAGATACCATAATATCAAATATATAAGTATCCTTTGGGATTTCTATGGGTATGTCTACAGTGCTTCTACGGTAATCTTAATGTTCTCTGTGACAGTCTACTGCTGCTTGGCAGGCCAGCTCTTAGATTATGGAGGCTTCCCAGTCCTTGGAATGGTATCAGGACAAGCTCTTCAAAGAAGGCAGCAACATAAGAAAGGTAGGATTGTATGGGAGTGCAGTCAAATGGCAGAAGATTATTAAAATGTACATGTAGCCAGAAAAAATGGAGTGTGTTTACCAGCCAGAATAGGATGCTTTTGCATTTCAAACGCGCTGTATGAGTCCAGCCTGAACTTAATACCCTGTTTTGATCTGTGTCTCTCCTTCTGACATGTAATTGCAGGAGGCAACCCAAACATGGAAACTGCCAGGGGATGGCAGGATAGAAAGAAGGAAGACTAAGGGTAAGCAGAACAGCTTGTCCCACTGTACCCACCTCCTAATATTTTCCCTTAAGAAATGCTGTGTGGAAAAAGGTGGACTGTCCAAGGAGGACACCGATCAAAGCAGAACAGTCTCCCTCACACTTTCCATTTCTTGTGGAGCTCAAATTTTGTGCAAACAAGGTGGTTTCGTTAATGCTGCTTTGGGCATTAATTCCCTTTCCACCTTCTGTAACCCCCCTTCAGAAGCCCTCACAGTATCAGAAAGAAGTTAGTCTTGTTAGGGGTTGTCAGAGTTCCCTATTAATGCTCAAACCATAGAGCAAATAAACAGTCCATCTCTCTCCAAATTCTGACATCTCATATGAAAAAATGTAGTAACGCCCCCCACCCCCCCCAGTTCATGAAAATGTCTCCTGTCTCAACCAGCTCCAGTTTTCACTTAGCTCTGAAAAGACCTACTGTATACAGTGCAAATCAGCAATTACTGCAAAATGCCTCAGTTTTGTCAATATGTTTTTGAGCACTTCCTGTGAGGGAAGTGGGCTAAAGTGCAGGAAGTAATTTTGTTGCATGAAAATGGTGATGACTTCAGAATCAGGAGCTGGAGAGAGAGACTGTCTTGGTCATACATTTTTACTGTACTCCAGATTTTCAAATCATTAGATTCACTTGTTGTAGACCAAACTGTTCTCTTTATCCAGCCAATGGCTAGATTCAGTATCATGTCCTGTCCAAGGGTTAGTGCTGTGAGTTGGATTTTCATACAGTTTTGACCTAAATAAAAATGTCTTTCAACTACTACTTTCCTCACCATTTTTCTTCTATCCAAAATATCCCAACTTATTTGCATAATTAAGATGGCATGTCCAGGGCTTGCCATGCAATTATGCTCAGGAGAACCCAGAGTATTCTCTGCCTAGGGACTCAAAAGGGACGCCATATTTCCTGAGCTCTAAGCAAGAAAATATGACAGTATTCAAAATAGCTGCCTTAGGAGAGCCAAAATATTGTCTGTCAACATGCTCAGGGGACCAGCAGCAGACATCTCTGTCCTCTCATGTGAGAATGTTGCTGCCTAACATCTGGGCTTTTCTATTGCAATTACTATTTTGGAGGTTTGCAGTGTCCCAAAAAGGTTTTGGATGCAAAAAGAGTATCTAGTGCTTATCTAGTGCATAGCTTCCCAAGTTATTTTTCAAGTTACAGCTATTGTTATTAAAAAGACAGCATGTCACCACAGCCTATCTTAAATACCTCAGTTTTCCTCTACCATGAGACTACTCCAATGCAGGCTAATCACATGATAAGCAATTACTGGTTAGTCAACCCATGGCAGCCTAATCTGTGAAAGCACACTACATATACTGTATTTTCACTCCCCATATCAGCACTGGCTCTGTTCCATGCCATGACAAGCTATATATCTGTTGGGAAGTAGGGTCTCAGCTTCAAACTGCCACAATTTATTATGTTTATATTTTAGGGTGCTGTACAATGGTGACATAGCACAGATGTATCTTGCCATGGATACGGAGGCATGAATTTGAACCTAACTCTAGATTCAGGCCAAAGATTGCCTTCAGTCAAACCAGCTGCAAATTAGTACCGGCCCTTTTGGACTCCTTTGAGAAGTCACAGATAGCCAGGACAACAGCCACATCTCTCCCTTTTGTGCTGCTGGCTACTGAAGATTGTATGCCATAACCATTCAAATCTGATGAGCCATCAAAGTGTGGGAAACAACAGCTACCTGTCTCCCCATTCTGGAGAGTGTGCGAGACAACCTAATGGAAATGAGTATCAGTAATTGTCTTGTTTTGGCAACACATAAAAGAATGAACTAAGCAGAAGGCAGGTCAGGAGGGCACCTTATAGGCTAATTTATTCAGGGGTGAACTACAATAAAATAAAATAGAATGATAACCGTCAAAAACAACAAATTTATTATGATATAATCTTTATTTGTGATAATCTGCTGAGTGACAAAAATGTGGAGAGAAGAAAATAATTTCAAGAATTTGCACTTTTCTACCTTTTCCTAACGGCTAAATGCTTGTATAGGTCCATCCTTAGAATAGGCTGGCAAAAGTCATAATGGTTCATACTAAAATTTAATCTGCAGGGACTGCATCATCTAATAATTATCTGCATGTTAGACTCAGAAGGCATGTCCCCAAGAGTGGGAATGTGCATTTCTCCAGGGACAAACAGCAGCGGCACAATTTGTGCTGCTGCTGCTTGTCTCTGGGAAATGCCTGTGTCCCAGCCAACTTACCTTCGGTCCCAAGGGCCTCCAGGGGCTGCAGCCACAGCAATCTGGCAGCACGGAGCCTGGCTGGCAGCTGGAGTACAGCCCTGGCTGTCCAGGCTCCGGTTTCAGGTGGCGCTCACTGCCACCACGTGCATTGCTCCGCTTTTTTAAGGTGTGGGGATTTTTTTGACACCGGGATCTAACCCCCACCCGCACTGTAAATTAGTAGTGTGGGGAATGCCTGCATGTGTAGTGTGTGCAGTGTGCAGTGCCACAGATGCATCTGCACAACTGCATACCACATGTCTGCATTTGTCTGGATGTGCCCAGAGAGGTGGAAAAAAAAGTTAATAGTTTGAAGCCTAAAGGCAGGATTACATTTCAAAGGCTTTTTAGTGTAGCCGCACAGACATATTACACTGACAAACTGCTTGCTGTGAGGGTACACCTTGTACTGACAAAACTATTGCTTCATCCAGCCTGTTTTATTCTGGGAACAGAACTATCTTGGCAAAAGTGAGTTTTGTCAGTGTAATTATATCTACACAAGGGGCTTCTGCCAGCAACACTCTGTTGGTGAGAGAACATACCGTCGCAACTCTCCTCTTTGACAAAGCTGTGGTGGCAAAAGTTTGCAGATTATAGCTGGCCTAAGGAAGAGGTTTACTGTCCTATAGGTTTGTAAGCGATACAGCAGAACAAAGTTTAAACACTGTGGAATGGTGAGGCTGGAAAAACTGCAAGAAGGACCCTGAAAAGACAGCCCTTCCTTACTTCGCTTCTGGTCTGAGCATAGGTAAATGGTAAGAGAAGATATTACATCTTAATTATTGTGACTGCCTAGGGCTGCACATTTTCACTACAATTAACCTGAGTCAATAACAGCTGCAGCTATGAAAAAAAATCACTTTAACAGCTAACTCATTTTCCTCCTTAGAGCTCAGGGAATAGTGGCATTACTTCTGGGTCCCTCGGCAGAGGCCAAATGGGCCTATTTTTTAATCTAGCAAAGATGAAGAGGAAAAAAAGAATCAAAGTACAATATTCTTGAATGAAAATATCCAAAGTTTAGCTTTGCTTCAGAAAGTGACTGCAAGGCTAAGTACAGACAGTTAAAAAGTCTGAAGCTGAATTGATTCATGGGCTGTGTGTTTGCTTCCTCTTCCTGCTGCCCTGAGGTCTCTGGGAGTTGCAGTCCAGAGTCACAACAACAGGACTCTGCAGGGTTGCTCATCACTTCCTCTTCCTGCTTCGAGGTGCCTAGCGCTAGTAGTCCACAATTGCAGCCAGCAGTAAGTTTGAGCAGGGGAAAGGGTGTTTAACCCCCCCGCCCTGGCCCTAGCCCCCAGCTGGGGTTTGCCTGGGGGGGCATTCCCCCCACTGACTAGGCTGCATCCCTAGCCAGGCTTACCCTCACCCCCCCCGCTCCTTTGTCAGCCAGTCTTCACTGCTCCAGGTAGGGACCAGAGGGGTGGGGCCAGCCCTGCTCTCTGGAGCAAACAGCACAGCCCGGTCCAAGGCTGCAAAATACAGGGATTCTGGGGGATTCTGATTTAACCCGAACAAGGAAGAGGTCTGGGACAGAAGTTTCATAAATCGGTTTGACCCAAATCAGTTAAGGTGGATACTATATTCAACCAGGTTTATTTTAAACCGGTTTCAGCCATTTTGAAACTGGTTTATGTGCGCTGAGCTTCTGTTCTGTTACAGGTTAAAACCAGTTTTTGATCACTTACACCAGTTTATGTGTAACTTTTCTCCCTAGCCCAAGAGTGCAAGGATCCTGATGCCAGATGCTGGAGCTCTAAAGGGAGCTGCTGACTGATTGATAGTCACCAAGGTAGATATGATTTAGTAACATCATCCTGGCTGTAAGAGAGGTGGGAATAACATTCTAGGCCTGGGACTTAGAAACTGTAGTATAAATTAGACAAGAGCATGGCTGGAATATACGAGTTTGAGTTCACTGCTAAACAACATAAAAAAAGCTGTAGTATTTATCATGGGATAACACATATATGACAACTGTTCTGAGGTAAAAAACATGGTGAAAGTAAGGCATGTTAGTTTTTCTGTAAGGTAAATTTGCTGAGGTCAGTCTCAGGTAGGGACAGAACAGGGGTGGGCAATTATTTCGGGTGGAGGGCCTCTTAATGAGTTTTGATGAGCTGTTGAGGGTGGCATAGATTCATAGATGTTAGGGTCAGCAGGGACCTCAATAGATCATCGAATCCGACCCCCTGCATAGGCAGGAAAGAGAGCTGGGTCTAGATGACCGCAGCTAGATGCATATCCAATCTCCTCTTGAAGACCCCCTGGGTAGGGGAGAGCACCACCTCCCTTGGCAGCCCGTTCCAGACCTTGGCCACTCTAACTGTGAAGAAGTTCTTCCTAATGTCCAGTCTAAATCTGCTCTCTGCTAGCTTGTGGCCATTATTTCTTGTAACCCCTGGGGGCGCCATGGTGAATAAAACCTCACCAATTCCCTTCTGTGCCCCCGTGAGGAACTTATAGGCAGCCACAAAGTCGCCTTTCAACCTTCTCTTGCGGAGGCTGAAAAGGTCCAGGTTCTCTAGTCTCTCCTCGTAGGGCTTGGTCTGCAAGCCCTTAACCATACGAGTGGCCCTTCTCTGGACCCTCTCCAGGTTATCCGCATCCCTCTTGAAGTGCGGTGCCCAGAATTGCACGCAGTACTCTAACTGTGGTCTGACCAGCGCCCGCTAGAGGGGAAGTATCACCTCTTTGGATCTATTCGTCATGCATCTGCTGATACATGATAAAGTGCCATTAGCTTTTCTGATGGCATGGGGAGTCCCACCCCTTGATAGTTGCCTCACCCCCTTGTCACTATCTTGGGACCAGAACTCCCACCCCTAACCCCTGACCTTTGCCACCGGAAGTCCCTCCCTTTGCCCTGAGGAAATATTCCTTTTGGGAGGGAGGCGTTGCTAAGAACCAGAAAGAAATCAAATCATATACTAAAGTCAAACACTTATTCAAACATATTTTGATTTTATTACAGAAAATATTTTTGTCATGATTTGTGTTTCTGTAGTGTATATAGAGGTGACTGCATAACTCAAAAATAAATTCTTAGTTTTGTATAGTGTGTGTGTGTGTATGATGGTTGTGTGTGTATGGTGGGGTGTGGGGGTGTGTGATAGGATGTGGGTGTGTGTGTATGGGGGCGGATTTATGAGGGGGTGTGGTGGTGTGTAGGGGAGCATAGGGTATCTTGGGGTGTTGTGCCAACCCCTGCCCCATACTCTCAGCTCCTGTCCAACTGCAGCTCCACCCCTGCCATTTCCCTACCTCTTGTCCAGAGCCAGCAGGGGACCGGGGAAGTGGAGCAGGTCCCTGGGGGCTGCAGGAGTAGCAGCAGCAGCCCCGCACAAAAGGTGCACCCTGGCAGGTCTGGGCCTTTCTGCCCACAAGGGTGGGAGTGAGGCAGTATGGTAAGTTTGGGCCTGTGCGTACATGTGGGCACCTCCTCTCACCATTGTGGGCGGAAGAGCTGGGTGGGGTACAATTTGTTGTGGGGCGCTGTGGGCTGGATGAAAGTGCTTTGCAGACTGGATCCAGCCCGTGGCTGTATTTTGCCCACTCTGGGATAGAGTTGACACTGGTGAACTTATGATGCTGGTGAGTTTACGTCACAGTAAAACTAAAGGGCCTTGTTTTCAGTCTGACTTTTACTTTAGGTTAGCTGGTACAAAATTCCCTATCCTGTTTAAGTGATAAAGGAAAGCCCAACTTCTTCTGAGTTACCTTCTAAATCCAGGAGGTCTAGGAAAGGTACAAACTTTCAAAGTAAATGCTATGTGCTAGAGCACAATAAATGTTCCCTGGAACATTTAAAGATGTTTCCAAAAAAGAAAAAAAATACATTAAAATCTGACTGAAAGAGTACTCATGATATTTTGGAATGTATTTATTTTAGCTGCATTTTGTTTTACACATGTATCCACATATCAGAATGCTGTACTGTTCTCAGCAATGCTCTAAAATCATTCCACAGCTCAGAGATCTTGTCCAAGCCCATTTACAGCCTTAATGACAGCCTAAAAATTAACTGAATGATGCTGCCTGACATAAGGGATAACTTTAAAGTGGAAATGGCTGACTAGTTCCTCCTTTCCTAATGATTGCCCCATGAGTTTGCCCCTTAAATCTTATCAGGTGGCTGTGCTTTGACATCTCACAGGAGAGAGATTACAGGAACATTTCTGTCATTCATTGGCAAGGAAGTAATTTTTTGGTTTATGCATGATTTGATAAGGCCTTCAGGGGCACCAGACAATAGGCCCATCTGGGGAGAAAGGGTTTAATACATCATAATCATAATACAAAGAAAAAAAGACCTCTTGTTATAGTCAAAATAACTCTCAAAGAATAATACTTAGCATGAGAACAATTTTATTTAATACGCTGACCAAGAGGCTCTTTACAAGTCAGCTTTGATAGTGGATATTAAACAAACCTGTGGCAATTTCTTTGCTGTCAGTTTATCCACATGTAGTAAAGCCCCAGAAACATTAGAAATATGAAATGAACTCATTTACTAAGTAAGACAAGAAGCTTATTTAAAAATGCTTTTTCCCCTCAATAGTTCTTTTATAAAAATAGTCCCTTATCATTTACTATGGCAACTACCACTGTGGCATCTAAACGGAAAAGGTCTAAATAAGTTTTGCATTAAAGATAGGCACAAATCAATATTGTAGAGATGGGATCTTTGTACCAGAATAATAAAACATATAGTTAAACTCACTAATGACTAGAAGATATTACAAACTAATGGATTCAGTCAATTAATAAGTAATTTTGTTTTATGTCTGTCTTTGTAATAACTGAGTGAACAACAGCTCATAATTCCCACTGCAATTACTGGAAAGACTCTAATTAATTTAAATAGGAGTTAGATTATAGTTTAAATGAAATAATTTAATTTAAAAAATAACTAACACCTTACAATAGGTACTTCGTTGATCTGAGGGCTGTAGCAGTCTTAATTATTTAAGACAAACTTAGAGTATGCAAGTCAGTGTACAGCAACATAGTTTGTAAAATTAATTACTTCTAAGCAATAGGAGATTTTTTTAGACCTAGCAGTCAGATATTTAATATTTGCTAAAGATAGGGTTACAGAGTAAGATGGTTACTTTTGGTGTAAATGATGGACTATGTTGTTCTGAATGTGCAAATAATACAAGTTCTACTGTGTCACGCATAGAGGTCTTGTGCTTTCTATTGTGGCCACAGTTTGCAACTCTAAGCAGAAACATGAGATCCTCTGACATGGTTCATTGACAATTTTGTCATTACATTTATGCAGCAAGCTGAGTGACCTTTAAACCTGCTGCATATTATGGGTTGTAGAATATGGAAACTTTGGTATTTTTAAAGAGACAAAATTGACCAATATTACCACCAAGCAAGATTTTATTCTTCCATTAGCTCACTGAAATAACAATAAGATATGAAGGAATGGTTATGGGCACAGCATGATACATTTTAGACAGTTTGCTAGATTTGAGAACATATAAATTATCTTCCTAAATCCAAATAAGAGTGACTTCAAAATATTTTTGTGAAGGTAAAATAATTTCTGCATTATAAAAGAATAGCTATTGAATCTCTATGAAGTAAAATAAAAGTTGTACCCAGAAGAGATCTGGGTTTTCCTTAATTGTTCTTGAAACACAACTATTTAAATTAGAGCTACTGGACAGCCCCTTCATAGCCTTGTTCTTTGTTCACGGGACTTCACAGAAGCATTGCCAAACACATGCATTCCCAAATAATGTGATAAACTCCCCAAATCAAGAGATTGGCTTAATCCCAAGGGGTTTTTTAATAATAAAAATGGATTTACCTTCTCATTTGTGAGCTTCATGGTTCACATTTTAAAGCTTTTTTCTCCCACAATGAGGGCCAGAAATTACAAATCCTAAACCCTTATAATCTACGGACTGGGCCTTCAGTAAAAAATGCCTTATCTTAAAGGCTAGCGACAGACATTACACATAAACCAGTTTAAGTGATCAGAAACTGGTTTAAACCTGTAACAGAACAGACATTCAGGGCACATAAACCAATTTGAAAATGGCTGAAACCAGTTTGAGATAAACCTAGTTGAACGTACTATCAGATTTAACTGCTTTGAGTCAAACCGGTTTATGCAATGTCTGTCCCAGACCCTTTCCTGGTTTAAGTTAAACCAGATTTCCCCAGCATCCCAGATGCTTTGCAACCCTGGGTGGGGCTCTGCTCTCTGCTCCAGTCCAGCAGGGCTGGCCCCACCCTCTTCTCCCTGGCTGCAGCTCCAGCAGAGACTGCAGGTACAGCAACATTTGCCTGGCTTCCTCCTGCTTCCTCCCCCTCCCCACTTCCTGCTCAAGCAGGGATTCTCCCTTCCCGTCTGCCTTACACAGACACCTCTCAGCATTAGCTAGCAGACCACATGCTGGCTATGGTCCGTGCTGTGGGAGACGGGACAAAGGCAGGCAGTGTTGGCTTAGGGCTTTTTGGAGCTAATCAACAGGTAGCTGGTAATGTCCCTCTGTTCCTTCCTTGGAAAAAGTTATTTATTTGAACTAATGAGAGAGGCTTTTATTTTGTTTGATGGCCTGATAAATGCTAATAACTCCCTGTGTAACTCCCTGCAGTGTAAGCAAATGCTCTGTTATCCACCGGGGGGTGGGGGGGGTGGCGGGAAGGTGGGGGAGAGAGACCCCTCCTTATTCAGAACTTCCTGCCAGGGCCTGGCCACACCTCCCCATAGTTCAGCCCTGTGGCAGGGAAGGGAGGGTTGCTTTAGCACCCCCTGGCTTCTAGTCT